GGCCTATAAAACAGCAGAGCATGAAGCCACTGGATACACTCCAGCAAAGCTGATGTTTGGTCGGGAATTTCGGTTGCCAGTGTACCTGATAACAGGATGCCCACCTTATGAAGAGTTGCCTGAAAATGTGTCAGAGTTCGTGAAAGTGTTATCTCAAAGGATGGATGATATTCATCATCAAGTGTGTTTAAACTTGAAAACATCTGCTGATTTCATGAAGTTATGTTATGATACGAGATCTAATGAAGTCAGCTTCGTACCAGGAGACAACGTGTGGTTGTATGTGAAGCAACTTGAAAAATTTCGAGGGAATTTTACAATTTGCTTCAGAGTTTGGAACATGACCAGGAAATTAGAAAAATATCTAAAGCTTTGATGAACATTACTAATGCGTTAATACACACTAGAGTAAGACAAACTGAGTTACATAAAGCAGGAATCGAAATGCTAGTTTTTAACACTAGAATTCAGAATATTCTACAACAGTTACCTTTTACTGTAGGACAGAGTTAGCTAAGTTAATACAAGCATTGTTTGTAGCTGCAGATAAAAAGCTAAGCTCTTACTTTTTACCACCGAGTAAACTAGAAAGAGTTAGACAAAATTGAAAGAAGATTACCTCCACATTTACAGTTTGTAATTCCTACTCATAGTGACCAAATTTATATGTACTATACATGGGCTGATGTGAAGAATGCCGCTGTTAGGGATACTTTAAGAATGTTTATAGAAATACCATTAAAAGCAACTGACAGAATGTTTAAATTGTATAAGATTATATCCTTACTGATAGCAATAAATCATTCACTAGCTTTAAGTATAGAGAACGATAAACCATACATTGCTGTCTCGAGTGATCAACATACATATGGTGAAATGACAGAAGAAGATATGTTAAATTTCATAGATGGACCTGTCGGAGTTTGTGATCCTGGCTCAAGTATTTATTCAGTACCTATTGTGACTTGTAATTGTGTGATATTCACAGGAATTGGGAATAGAGTATCTGAACTATGTGAGAAAGGAATAATTATTCCAAGACCATTCTATTTTTATAAAACTAGAGCTCCAAAAACTTGGTTATTTAACATTAAAGATGAACTTACTTTATCAGATGTATGTCCAAGGTCAGGCGTAGATCAGTTTGATTATCATACTAGAGTAATTAAGTTACACAATAATGGTTATATAAAATTATCTAAAAATTGTTCAGCTCATGGTCAAGGTATAACCTTACGGTCAAACTTTAGAAGTGAAACTAAATATATAGGGACTAAACTAAATATAAGGATTCCAGAATTACAAGAACTACTAATGAAAAAGGAATTACAGTTAATTCAAAGTATAGATATAGAGACATATATTAAAGGATTACAAGATACACTAGAAGACACTAAACATTTACCTCCTAGGAAGTTAGGGTTAAGTCTTAAGGATTTTCAACAGCATGTAGATTGATTATGTGCTACAGCTGGAAAACAGAAGTTAGAGAGATTATCTAACTCGGTGATGATAACCTTATGCTTAGTAGTAATACTAGTAAGCATAACGTTGTATATCATAAGAGACAAATTGGCTTTACTGAAGTTAATGGCATTAGATGAGCTATGTAAAACTAGAAAGAAAAGAACAAGAACAGGCAATAATGAAATGT